CGATATTTCATTTTCCTATCGTTGCCTAACATTATACCGGTATTACCGTGAACGGTATGATATGGCCCAGCCCTAAACACGAGTACAGAGAAGGACACGCAGACCGGGGACAGATTAAAGGAAAAGCCGTCCTAAAGGGTCAGGTGTGTGCTCCACCTGAGAGTGCTGCACAGACCCACACCACCCTGTGGGTGGAGACACCAGCAACATGTAGTGAAGCTAAGCTTGTTACAACTGGCCTCACTTTACAGAAATAAGGTTTTATTCTAAACAGTCTTAGTAAGAACTGGAGAGGTCAAGAAGGAGAGCGCCCTCCAGGCCGGTGGAGGCGTGTCTTTAATTAGAAATGAAGCTCAGTGTCCCGCTCTGCACTGCGAGGGCAGCAGGACCGCAGAGAGTCGGACACATGAATAAAAGTGATCTCAGAAGAGGAGACTGCCGATTCCAGCTGCTCTTTACTCAACTAGAATCAAAGGTGGACCTGTTCTGGCTCGCTATGATTGGATGAAAACTGTGAGGCGTGACCCATTTTTATGAAGTGGTGCCAAGGTCAGGGTTTTCCTTTAATCTGTCACATCTTTATTGAAAATCTCCCCGAGACAGGAAAATGTTATATGTGTGTGTGTGTGTGTGTGTGTGTGTGTGTGTGTGTGTGTGTGTGTGTGTGTGTGTGTGTGTGTGTGTGTTACCTGTCCCAACGATGCGTGGATCTGCAAAGTGCTTCGCAAGGATGGCAGCGAGCTGAGTCAGAGTTTCCTCGTAGCCTGAGGGAGAAAGATAAAATAAAGAGTGTGTGTGTGTCTGTCCGTCTGTGTGTGTGTGTCTCTCCTTGTGTCTCCGTGTCTGTGTGTGTGTGTCTCTCCTTGTGTCTCCGTGTCTGTGTGTGTGTGTGTGTGTCTCTCCTTGTGTCTCCGTGTCTGTGTGTGTCTCCGTGTCTGTGTGTGTGTGTGTGTGTGTGTCTCTCCTTGTGTCTCCGTGTCTGTGTGTGTGTGTCTCCATAACGGAGGTTTAAACTTCTGAAAATACAGTAAAAAGTCTAAAAAGTCTGCTTGCGCTTGTTTGTGATGAGCAGCAGAGTCTGTAGTTATAATGATTATAAACGACGTCAAACACACATTCAGGCCTGTGAGGCTCATTTAGACCATTGGCTCTCAAACTGGGGTTCACGGACCCCCAGGGGTCTGCAAGCCACAGATTGGAGGTCCACGAAAACTCGTAGTGGCTCGTAAATACACGTGCATCATCCGGGGTCGAGCTAATTACTACAAATATTAATAAAATAATAGTAAAAGTCCGTCCACTTCATCAAGTAACGCAAACGTCAAACCAGCTAAAATGAGACCGTATGACCTCAGTGGCCTCGAGTCGGCTTTATCGAGGATGGAAGTGTCTTCAAGTACTAACAAATGAATCGATGAAGCATCTCATCACAAAGCACATTTCATCTGCTACTACTGCTGCTAAAGAAGCTTTGCCCTCTTCTTTCACAGATGATGGTGTCATTGCGCATGAATGGCCACATGGTGTGCCCATCAAAATCAAAATACTGTGCCGCCCTGTCTGCATGGGTTCCCAGTAGGGCTGAAGGTCCGGCTCCCACATACCGGCGGCCCGTTAACGACTGACAGATGAAATCATCTCGTACGGTTGACACGCCTGCTCTAGAGTTCAGGAAACGCCCTGCTGAGGTCAGAGGAGAAGGGCAGACTGCTTCGAGCTGACAGGAAGTCAAAAGAAATAACCGCTAATCGATAACCAATAAAATAACAACTCGTTATAACCAAGGTGCGCAGAAGAGCAGCAGCAGATCACGCCGTCTCACTCCTGAAGCTAAGAACAGAAAAAACAAACCGACCAATCTGGACGTCTCCTTGCGTCTGCTGCGACGTGGTCGGCTCAGAGGTGGGGAGAACACAACCAGCCCGCCTGTGTGAGCGGTGCAGGCTGTGGAGGTGCGATGCTGTGGGGAGACTTTCAGCGCAAGCATCGTTTAAACACACAAACACGAGACGGGAAACAAAAACCCGACGTCACAGAAACGGCGTTAACCTAAAACAGGATCAAACACTGAAGCACAGCTGGACCACGACTCGCGCAGGTGCACCTGCAGACACCTTCGACAGGTGAGGGTAGAAAAGGGAACGCTCGCTTGGCTTCACAGCAAAGACTAATACAAAAAAATTAATCTTCCAACTGTCTTCCATAACAACCCTGATGAAGCGCGCCCCGCCCGTTCAACGACCTGCCTCAGGTCAAACATCACCTGCAGGCTGGGTGGGCTGATGGTTCGCGGTGCTTACCGGGCAGCTCGTCCATGCCGTTAGCCGGGCTGAAGTAGTTCTTCAGGGCGCTGTACGCGTTCATGGCGACGTTGAGGTAGAACTCTGATGTGAAGGCGAACAGAGAGCCGGTGTTGTCGGCGTGCTCGATGGTGCGGATGCAGACACACAGCAGCCAGTAGATGTCCAGCATCTTCTCCTGGAGACAGCAGCACACAGCTCAGAAACAACACAAAATCCACCATTTAATGCGGACGCACAGCGGGCGGAGCGGCCTGCTCACCTTGGAGTAGATGGTGGCGTTGATCCAGGCCAGCCTCCTGCTCAGGTGGTTCAGCTTCTCCGCAAAAACCTTCTGGCTCTTCTGGAGCTCCTCCAGGATGTCGGCCCTCTGAAACAGACACGCGATCATTAAGCAGCCGAGCGTCCGTGCCGCGTTCGGTTACTCCGTTATTCCCTGGACCGCAGGAGCGGAGACGCTCCCAGGTGATGTGAGCAGGTATGTGCCTCTGATCTGACATGATGTGCACGCTGCAGGTTTCTGGTTCCCTGCAGTTAACGAGGACATACACGGCCTGACTGAGGCCCTCGCCGATCGCAGGACGCATTGCTCCTGATGGGGGCGCTCCTCCGACTCTTCCCGTCTGCCTTCAGAGAGCGAGTTTACTCTGCGGCACTAATGAGAGGAGCTTCTGCATCACGACGGGCTGACAGCAGCGCGGCCAATTACCTCGAGAAGAGCTCCGACAAACAAAGAGCAGTGCGTCAGATTTATTAATGAGGACGGACCAACAGCGGCGTTTAAACGAGGGTTTCTAGATTCAGTGGGAAACCAGAGGAGGCCTGTGACCTGAATAAAGCCTGAGCATGAGTCTCACTTCAACACATTTGAGTTTAATAACTACAGCGAACATCAATAAAGAAATCCTGCAGAGAGAACGACATGAAAACACGAAGCGTGGCAGAAAATGAGGGCCTGTTGGTGGGAATGCGTCGCCCCAGTGAGGGGTGGAGGGGCGCGTTAACCGAGCCATCCCCCCTTTCACTGAGAGATGCTCTTTTGTTCCATCGTTCGTGTCGTTGGACGTGATCCAATCAGAAGTGATCTCATGTCAGACAGAGAGCAGACACACGGACACGTTTCACACCTGCTGTCGAGGAAAATCAGAGGCTCTGTAAACCATGAATCCAAAGCTAAGCAGTCGTTTTTGTTAGCCTGCAACAAAGGTCTTTCTCCCATAGGGGGCGCCACAGCCAATCACCTGCCTCCGTCTCCCAGCATCCATGAACCTCCTCTGAGCTCCTCTCTCCCACTGCAGTGATAATCTGTCTAAAGCTGTCTGACTCGGGTCAATCAGCCAATCAGGTCCCACTGCTGACCCCACCCACCTCACCAATCTGAGCCATGGTCTGCGTGACCTGAGTGATGAGGGTCACTCAGGTCACTCAGACCAAGGACTGCTTCTAAAACTCGCCCTGACGTCCAGCTGAGGCGGCGGTGGCACTCACTCTGGCGGGGCAGCGGGCGATCTTCTCCTCCGTATCCTTCAGTGCCACGGCGTACTCATGGACGTCGTCCGACACCACCACCATCTGAGAGGAGAGACACATGTCAGCACGCTGCTGAGAAAAACACTGGAGGCACGAGCGATCTAATTGGCTGATTGTCACAGCGACCATGAAAACTCGTCATTAGTCTGACCACGCAGCAGCTACGTGATACAGACTCAGAGGCGCTTTTAAATGAGACAGGGGTCAGAGGTCGCACAGCGTTAGTGTGGAGAGGATGAGCCAATCGCAGAGTAGAAAAAAAACCTTCAGGCTCAGCGAGGCGCCCGTGTTTGACCAGAGGACTCGGAGCGCTTCGCTTTAATGCGCACAGACACGTTTTTCAGACACCTCGAATAAAAACGTAAAAATAAAACCAGACACACAAATCACAGCGCTGAGCACAGCTGCTTCGGGTCAACCCACCCGAGAGAAAGGTGGATGCAGCTAAAGGTCAGGACCGCCCACAGATACTTCAGCAAGTTTTAAATATAGAAGTTTAAAACAAGAAGGGATTGTTAACACTGATGTGACCAACTGGAGCGTGATGAGCACCAAACCAAAGGATGAACTCACTGTGGGAGTGCAGACAAAACCAGCTGCAGAGAAAGTCACAGGAATAAAATATGCAGCATTAACCTTTACAGCAGAGTTCCACAGGGTTCAGTGCTAGGACCAATTCTGTTTACATTATACATGCTTCCCTTAGGCAGCATCATTAGAAGACATAGCATACATTTACACTGCTATGCAGATGACACCCAGCTCTATCTGTCCATGAAGCCAGATAACACACACCAATGAGTTAAACTGCAGGAATGTCTTAAAGACATAAAGACCTGGATGGCCGCTAACTTTCTGCTTCTTAATTCAGATCAAACTGAGGTTATTGTACTCGGCCCTGAAAAGCTTAGAAATATGGTATCTAAGCAGATTCTTACTCTGGATGGCATTACCTTGGCCTCCAGTAACACTGTGAGGAACCTTGGAGTCATGTTTGACCAGGACATGTCCTTCAACGCACATATTAAACAAATATGTAAGACTGCTTTCTTCCATTTGTGCAACATCTCTAAAGTTAGAAATATCCTGTCTCAGAGTGACGCTGAAAAACTAGTTCATGCATTTATTACTTCCAGGCTGGACGACTGTAATTCATTATTATCAGGAAGTCCTAAAAACTCCCTGAAAAGCCTTCAGCTGATCCAAAATGCTGCAGCAAGAGTCCTGACAGGGACTAGAAAGAGAGAGCAGATTTCTCCTGTTTTGGCTTCCTGTTAAATCCAGAATTCAAAATCCTGCTCCTCACATACAAGGTCTTAAATAATCAGGCCCCATCTTATCTTAATGACCTTGTAGTACCATATCACCCTATTAGAGCACTTCGCTCTCGCTCTGCAGGCCTACTTGTTGTTCCTAGAGTATTTAAAAGTAGAATGGGAGGCAGAGCCTTCAGTTTTCAGGCCCCTCTTCTGTGGAACCAGCTTCCAGTTTGGATTCAGGAGACAGACACTATCTCTACTTTCAAGATTAGGCTTCAAACTTTCCTTTTTGCTAAAGCATATAGTTAGGGTTGGACCAGGTTCATTGTGTGTTTCGAATAATTCGATTAGAAAAAATTCTAGACACACATTCTTTGCTTCAGCACTTCGTTTAAGCACACACACACACACACGCGCGCCACACACACACGCACGCGCACACACACCCGCGCGCGCACACACGCACACGCGCGCGCACACACACGCGCGCGCACACACACACGCGCGCACACACTCACGCGCGCAACACACACGCACAGCACACGCACACACACACACACACACACACTCACAGGCACACACACACACACACACACACACACACACACTCACCTTCCCCAGCTGCTGATGGACACTCAGGTTGTACATCATCACGATCCCGTCCACGATCTCCAGCAGCGACTTGTCTGCAATTTGTTGATCGGGCTCCTCGAGCGGTCGCCCCAGCAACAGGCCGTCGTTGCCATGACTTCCCTCGACTTCAGGTTGCAGAGAAACAGGAAATGGTTAAAAAAGGCAAGAGATTTTTACAGCTGTGGCACTTCCACCCAAAGACTCAGGCGATGATAACTGGCTCCACGTCAACTTCACGCTGTGTCTAACCGGCCAATCAGGCACAAGCGCCTCATTTGACTAATGAAGGAAACAACCAGAGACCAACTTAGTCTGGGCCAACAGCGAAAAATAATGATGTGAAATCAACAGGACACCTGACACACCCCAACAGGAAGTGACCCAATTAAAGCTCCCAGCACACGAAGACCTCGTAAAGCTGAACACGCCGGGCTGAAAGCACGTGGTATGAAACACACGGGTGGACATCGCGAGGGATCGATCCACCTCCACCCACGCTCTGTCCCACCATCCAGAACCAGAACGCAGGAACCAATCACTTCTTCTCAAACGTCTCCAACACTGTCACTGACAAAGTACTTCCTGATATTTTACCTGGCAGATTCCTCTGCTGCTTTGTTTCCTGCCATCACCATGCTTACTCTGATTACTGTGCTGGGTGCAGAAAGGAGAGCGTGGCTGAACATTTATCACTACCTTCGATTGGAGGATGAAGTGGAACAACATGCAGACTCCAACTGAAAGATGGAAACGCAGACGTTTTCCTGCAGCGATCACGCCTGCGAGGACGGCTCGGGCCCTTCTCTCACTTTGCTCGTCTCCTGCACGCCGGTGTCATTGCACCACAAATGCAAAAACTGAGCGAGAGGGGCTGTTGTGTGTGTGTGTGTTTTTGTAACGAGCGGTGTGTGTGTGTGTGTGTGTGTGTGTGTGTGTGTGTGTGTGTGTGTGTGTGTGGATAATAGCAAACAAATTATTTCTTTGCACGCAGGAATGAATTTTCTTCGCTCAAAATAAATTTCTCCTCAAAATGCAACACTTGCACCTGCAAACTTTTTTACGTGCGCTCAGAATAGTGGCACAAAAATAACGCCATACATCCACAGAGGAAGTGACTCGCTCGTCACGTTGACGCCTAGGTGAACCTCACACAATTAAATTCTGATTCTCACTTCCTAAAAGCTCCACGCAAAGCGAGCAAATGCGGAAGTGATCCCCTGTGTGGCTGTTCATCACGCCTGTAAAAGCAAACTTCCTGACAAATCACTGACCACCTGCTGCCAGCAGGGGGCGCCACGCACTGCCACATAGACCTGCTTCGTATTTTCAAACGCAGGAGAAGCTCTACGCAAACGGGGCTGATGCCCGTGAGTTCCGTAGCAGGAGCGAGTTGTACTCACTGTCCTCCTCGGTGCGCTGCTCCACGGCGAGCGTTCGGACCTTCACCTTCTCCGGCTGACTCAGGGGTCGCCTGGGGGTCATCAGGCTGACGGCGGCCGTGCTCAAGAAGCGGTTGGCCCGACCCAAAGTGGGAGAACTCAACCAGCTGGGCCTCGCCAGAGCTCCGCCCATCGCCACGGCCCCGGGAAGCCTCTGTGGTCAGACGAAAAAAAAAAAGTGATGTCAGAGGATCAGGAGGTCAGAGGTCACAGCTGTCTGCACAGATGTTTGGTCACACATTTAGAAACTATGGATATTAAACATCAGTGAGGATAATTTTTTAAAGCTTGTTCTTTAAAAAACGAGTGGACACGTTTTACCTCACTTCCTGTCTAACCCACAGTTTCAGCTAGGGCAGCCAATCGGGGGAGGGGCTTAAAGCAGTACGGATTAAAACCACGATCAGTGAACGGGAACAATGAAGACAAATGGAAGCAGCCTGAGAGAAACATGGACGAGGCTCTCCGTCAGACGCAGCCAGCTGTGGCAGATGTGAAGCTGTGGCTTCACATCTGCAGCTGCCACGCCTCTGCACGCCCTGCAGAGCCACCCGTCAGCTGGTTCTGGTCTCGCCACACCAACATTTTGCAGCATGTCGTCTTCAGAGCGGCTCACTGAAGCCTCGCAGGTTTGACATCGGTCTTTGTGGGACTCCAGGTTATCCTCAGCCCACAGAAACAGGTGCGGGCACAGGCTTAGACAAAGCGGGCGTGCCGTCACCGGCGCCGTTAGATCGGCTCTCCAACTCAGAGCGTGCACGCCATAAAAATGTTTCATGGTTTTTAATGGCGGCAGAACTTGTTGAATCCATCGCCGTGCACTCGCTCTTCATAACGTTAACATGTTCCATCGTTTTATTTCAATATCTGGAAGTACTCATGTGTACTTTTACACATACTGTTTACTCGGTGACACACAAACAAATGACATCACCACATCACCTGAGCAGCTCCGCTCTCGTCGTCCTCGTCCAGGTCGTCCATGGACGTGGCCTGGATCTCCGCGGGGTCGATGATGATGTTTGCTTTACTCGCCAAATCGTCTGAAAAAGAGAAAACAGGCACATTTGTCATGTTGTAGTTCTTCACTCATGAAAACAAAACCATCAGCTGAGTTTCATCAAGCTGTCTGCAGAAAAACGCCAACATCAGACGAGCACAGCTCTCACAGCGGCATTTTATATTCACTCAGACCCCAAAACACGATCAGAAAAGTTAAACCAAAGAAATACGTTTAAAAACAAACTGCAACCCTACATTAAAACTGAGTTTAGCCGTCCAGGCCAGCTCGCACCGGCTTCCTACGAACGTTCTGACCGCTGACGAGGTCAAACCGTCGAGCCGTGCCGGTCGCGTCAGGAGGAGACGGCCTCAGACTGATCGGAGACCAGCGTGTGAGCGTTAGCCAATGAGCATCAGCCTGACAGGAAGCTGGCAGTAACGAAGAAACTGTCACTGGTACTGAGAGTGAAGGAGGGCGGGTGTTAAAAGTCTGAGCTCACTGGTTGGCCTGTGCAGGAAGTTCCCGACCAATCTGCAGAGGACTTCCTCGACTAAACCTTCAGGAACACACGCTCGGGGCTGAAGTCACATCTTTACCGAGACTCAAAGTCAAACGTCCAAAATACAAATGGCTGTAAGTTGTTCGGGCTCCTCTTCATCACGAGCGACTGTAGGAGGACGCGGCGTGCCCGCCTTTAAGAGGAAATGGAAGCGAGCGGGCCGCCGGAGCGGATAACTGATGGCAGTTGTGCAGCGCTGCCAGTCAGCACAACGGAGTGAATCAATCCACATTATACACCTGCTGATGGCGGCCTCATTTCTCCCCACAGAAACATCATTCAGACGCTTGCTCTTGATACTGAGGCGAAGCCCGCTGGCTCAGGACCATCGGCGCTCACCGCTAACCCCGTCACGCCTCTTGTATTTCATATCTGTGAGTCTGAGGCCTCGCCATCGTCAGTCAGTGTACGGGGGGTACATACATCAAACACACCTGACAGGATCTCAAACGGTTCTTTTGGGTGATGGTTGGTGTATTTACCTCCTCACGCCAACCCCGCCCCCCCAGCGGCTTTCAACCTGATGGGGGGCAAACTGGTCAAACTGGTTACGTTAGAGGTTTCTATCCAACATGGAGCACTTGCTCCCTCTGGTGGAGACAGCTGTGATGACCAACTTCAGATTTGATCCAGTTATTAACGCGGGCGCGCTCGCCTGCTTCCAGGGGCCCGTTCTTCGTACCGCGCTAAGTGAGTTAGCTGGATTGAGATTGTTGACGATTTCGCGTGATCCTAGGATCGTTCGGTTCCCCGAAGCTCCATCCGGGACTTGCTGTCATAGCAACAGAGCCGTAAGCGTAAACCTGCTCGGGAGCAGGTTTACTTTATGTAAACAGGATTAGATCGCGGCCACGCAGGTATGTCCGCTCATTTATACGAAAGCAACAGCGATATTCCACCACTGTTTCACCATAAATAAATAACATCAATGTAACTAAAGATAATGCAGCACTTGATCCTGTTATTGATTGTCACACAGATACATACAGGTCATTTCCTAAAAAAGGGAAATGTACTATTAACATTCTATTACATGTATGTGATTATTACAGATGTAATTCATATTTCAGAGTAGTAATTGCAAATTACTTCGTGTAATCAAGATGAGAGACCACGGCTATAAAAGCGAAGGTGGATTTGGGAAGCCTGTCGCAGCCATGTCCTGTCCGTATACGCGAGCCACCCATTGCGGAAGGTGCAAGATTGATAAGGAGAGTCCTCAGAATTCAGCGTATATTGCGGGACTAGACAGGATCCTTTAGCTCAGCGCGACAGTGTGCTCATGAGAGATATCGATATTCCCGTGAGGGTATTATTCTACTTAACCAACTGTTGACGAGGGGGTGCAGGACCACCACCTGTCTTTTTTTGCTCTGCCCTTTTCTTGGTTGCTGTTATGAACAACAACAGATTATTTCAGGGTCTCTTTCCAAGAGACGAAAAGCAATATAAGTGATAAATATTACCATTCTGTAGAATATTCTTATATTTCACTTTTACTTGTTCCCATGTTCTAGTGGGTCCTGTTGTGGCTCTAATGTGAAAGGGGATATAATATGACAATATAATATAATGTAATATAATATTGGATAATATAGTGTAATATAATAAATCTATAAATAGGCTAAATAATAAGTGACTGAATAGTGGTATTGTCATGCGCTTTGGGTGCCTTGAAAAGCGCTATATAAACCCACTCCATTATTATTGTTATTATTACATTACTTACGAGTTTGATTTGTCAGCAACTTTCTGCCAGCCCTCTCTCCTTGCTTTTGCAGCCTTTGCAGTGTTCTCTTGCGTTTTAATTAAACTCTGAAACTCCTGAAATCCCTCACTCAAGAGTTCTTGCTCTGCTGCCGGAAAATACCGAGCGACGCTCCTTCGACATTTTCGCCGACCAATCAGGGGTTGCCGATCATGTTTCTACTATCGATGCGTAGCCCCTGTTAACGCACCCAGTGATCTGCACATTACTTCATCCAGCTGTAGTAATCGTCAACAGCAGGTGTGTTCGGAGAACCGGATTAGCGAGCTCACGGTTAGCGCGATGATTTGGTCTTGGATGTGTCATTTGATCTTGGATGTAGTAAGCGACGTACGAAGAACAGGCCCCAGCTCCGTGTCCCACATCTTGGATGAGTTAACAATAATCGCCGTTTATGTGACACCTCTGTGCACCCTGCTTTAGCTCCTCCCCCTCTGAGCACCTTTGCTCCTGATTGGCTGCTCCTCACAAACTGAGTTCAAGATTCCTACGCAGGCACAGCTCGTCATTAGACAGACGTGACAGGAAATCAATGAAGGAGATCTTGAGAAAGGATTCACGCTCGCACACGTCACCAAAACAGCGACAGCTCGTCCAATCACGTTGTCCTGGGGCACTTCTGACTCTCCCAGCCGCCGATCAGCTGATCAGACACTGAGGGAGTCGGTGTGAAGTGACTCCTGCATGTCCCAGCGCTCTGGGCTCAGAGTCATTACCAAACACCTAAACTGACAACAGACACAGGAGCATGCTGGACAGGGCCACGCCCCCCACGAGCACACCTCCCAGGGCCACGCCCACCGGGAGCACATCTTACCTTTCAGGGTTTTCTTCAGGTGGGACAGCAGCCCGCCCAGCCTCTGCAGGTCGAAGTAGTCCACCTTCCCGTTATAGAACAACTGAGGAGGGACGTAGGCCTCTGTGGGGGTACAGAAGCACATCACTGAGGGAAGACGCACACACGCACGGGCGCACGCATGCACGCGCGCGCACACACATATTCACACACACACACACACACACACACGCACATATTCACACACACACACACGCACACACACGCGCACACACAGTGTGGCGCAGTGTGTCGTACCGTCGCTGCTCACGCTGCTCGGACTCTTGCGGTGTCCTTCGTCCCAGCAGCCTCTGACCGCTGTGATGAGGCGGTGCAGGAAACACACCATGTACTCAGGCGGACACAGAGCCGTGGGGTGCTGCTCAAACACACAGAGTGCACGCATGTGCAAACACACACGTGAGGCTTTCTCCGTGATTAGAGCCCACTGATAAAAACACGTCTCCATGAAATCAAACCTGTGGTTTCAGTTTGTCTGCGTCGCTCACAGACAGGAACAAACTGACCTTTGGAAACACTGACATGACGTGAGAGGGTGGCGTTCCTCGCTGCTCCTTACCCCTCTGTTGCTGGCGTTTTCCTGGAGGAACTTCCTGAACTTGTTGAGGAAAATGTAGCGCGATGCTTCTCCCTGAAAGAGGAGCAGAGCTCAGTTTTTCTCTTCACTGCAGTTTGAAACAGGAGAAGCGATTGCTGCAGTCCAACCTTCAGTCTGATCAGACCGAGTGTTACTCGGGGAGGACGCCAACGTTCACATCAGGCCAAAACATCCGAGGACGACACGGAGAGTAAAAACTGTGAGAACAGGCAGACCCCGGATCTGTTTTTGGATAAACGGGGAATACTGCACGATCATCCGTTTGGTCTCTGAGCAGGATAGGAATAAAAGCTGCTGTTAGACACACAGACCTTAAAGTTCTTTAGTGCGTCAGAGTCGTGGTTTCAAAGTGCAGCGATCCAACTCGCACCGAGGGAAACCGCGGATCAGTGAGTTTGACGGGTTCGCTGCTGAAACCTATAAAGGCTCTCGTGTCTGTGACTGAAAAGACTTTCTTTAAATCACCATCAAGAAAAAACTAAAAATGGGTCTATGATACAACGTGTTTCGTGATGATCTTACAGTTACAGGAACGAAAGAGCAGCGGGGTGAATAGCACGGTTGGTCGTCGCCTTCACGCCGAGGTGCTGTTTCCTCCCGGTTACGTGATTTGGTTTAAAATAAATGCTTAAAGCAAAGCGACTCCGAGCCCGGGCCGTTATTGCTTCGAGCGCTCGCTCTGTGAATTCGTTGGCAGTTGCTTGGATACGTGTTACGGTGCTGCAGGAGAGCCGGCACAGCTGAGGCATCTGATCTGAGCCGAACACCTGAACCTCCACCCGACAGAAACACAGACGCTGAAACGTCTCGCCACCGCAAACATCAGAGCAGCGTCCTGACCGCGGTCGCCATCACCAACACATCACGGCGCTGCACCCACCGTGCTCTTGTCCTTGTTGTTGAGCAGCAGCCTCAGGATCTGAACCTGCAACTCCTCCACCACTGCAGGAGAACAGAGGTCAGAGGTCAGAGGTCAGAGGAGCGCACACAGACAGTCCAGGTAAGCAGACAGGTGGGTGGTCTCAAAGACAGGAACTCAGTGAAACACCAAAATAAAACAGTAAAGTACTAAAACAGAACACGGCCGAGTGACGGAGACCGACCTTCGATCCTCTTCTTCAGCCTCTGGCAGCCTCTCTCGTAGGCTCGGCGCCTCAGACGCTCGTCGGCGCTCTCGTCTTTGGGCTCGCGCTCGTCTTTACCCTGTTTGATAAAGAAGCATTGTTTAAAGCTCTCACAGCTGTGCTGCTGTAAACACCTGATGGCTGCAGCCTTCCCCTGAGGAGCCTGCGGTTCGTCTGTCACGGTCAGTTCTTACTTCACATCTGATTTGTCGTTGCGCACGTCACAGAGGTAAACGGCCTCTCTCTGTTTGAGCTTCGCTGCTTTCAGCTTAATGACTTTGACACACTCGATAACATTTCGTCAGGAGCGAGGAGACGCAAAGAGCCTCGGTTTCTCTCACCTCTTTGTCGAAGTGCGTGGGCCACCAGGTGGTTGGGATGAGCTCCTCTAGCCCCGCCTCCTTCACCCTCAGAGGAGTTTTGATGTAAAAGAACACAACCGAGCGCAGAACGTCGAACGTGAGCTTCAGTTAAGGAGAATGCCGCGACAGCAGTTTAAATGTCACAGAGCGCTTTCGCTTGGCGGCTGAAGGATATAAGACGTTGCTGAGCAGGTACTTCCTGGATTTCTCGTGGCGCAGGATGGCCGTGGTCAGCCGCAGGTAGTGGATCTGAAACACAAGCACATCAGCTGGAGAACATCTGGAAACACGTGACATGGAAAAAAAAAGATTTTAGATGAAGATGAAGTTTGTCGCCACCTGCACACAAACATTTAAAGTTTGGTCTCTGAAGATGAACCTCCTGTGTCAGTGAGGTCGCTCTGCAGGCCCCGCCCCTGACCTTATATAACATGTGGGGCTCTGTTTGTTTGTCCTACCTGGAAGCCCAAGTCTGGGATGATGGGGGAGAAGCGGTAGGCCCTGAGTAAGGACATCATGAGTTGCTTCAGACACTCGTTCACCTCGTGGTCCTGCAAACAGAGGACAGAGAGGACAGCAGAGGACAGAGAGGACAGAGAGGACAGAGAGGACGCAGAGGACAGAGAGGACAGAGAGCATAGAGAGGACGCAGAGGACAGCAGAGGACAGAGACGACAGCAGAGGACAGAGACGACGCAGAGGACAGAGACGACGCAGAGGACAGAGAGGACAGCAGAGGACAGAGAGGACAGCAGAGGACAGAGAGGACAGCAGAGGACAGCAGAGGACATAGAGCATAGAGAGGACAGCAGAGGACAGAGAGGCCGCAGAGGACAGCAGAGGACA